CGAAATGCAAGTCTACAAGAGTAATCTTCCGTCTAACGAAGAATCAAGTCTACCAAAGTAATTTCGGTTACGAGAATCAGACCTACGTGCGAGTCGATTTGCGTCACCGAAAGTCCGAGGCCGTACTGGGGGGTCATTTCGTTACGACAATCATGCCGAGATACACTTGGCGCCGCCGGGCGCGCCAAAAATATTGCAGATGACTTATTTTCGTTACAGGAATCATTGATTTCGCCTTAACGAATCAAGTCTTACAAAGGTGATTTCGGTTACGAAATCAACTACTGTGAGTGCATTTCGCTGACGAAATCAGCCTACTGCGAGTTATTTCGTTTGACGAAAAATCATTGCCGACACCTTGGCGCGGGCCGCGCGCCAAGTGTAGCACTGAGCTGATGTTCGCTTACGAAATCACGCTAGCTGCCGAGTGATTTTCGGTACGAAATCATGCTACAGCTTCGTGCGCGCCGGCGCGCGCCAAATGTCGCATGACTGATTTCGCTTTACGAACACAGGCTACTGCATCGAATGATTTCGTTACGAAGCATCGATGCTACACTTGGCTGTGTGGGCCCGCCAAGGTGTCGCATGACTGATTTCGTTTACGAAATCAAGTCTTGACAAAGTGCATTCGTTACGAAAATCACAGGGTCTAAAGAGGTAATTTCGCTTACGAAAGTCAACTACTGACGACGTGATTTCGTGAGCGAAATCAGCTAGCTGCAAGTCGAGCTGATTTCGTTACGGAAATCAGCTACACTTGGGCGGTGTTGGGGCGCCAAGTGTCGCATACTGCATTTTGTTCACGAAATCAAGTCCTACAAAGCTGACTGTCGTACGGCAAAGTCAAAGGTCTACAAGAGTAATTATCGTTACGAAATCAGACTACTGCGCAGTGATTTCGTGACGACAATCAGCCTACCTGCAATCGAGTGATTTCGTACGAAATCATGCTAGCACTTGCGGTGTGGGGCCCCGCCAAGTGTCGCGATGCACTGCATTTCGCTTACGAAATCCACTGGATTCGCTAACGAATCAAGTCTACACAAAATGATTTCGTTTACGAAATCAAGTCTGACAAAGGAATTCGTTACGAAATCACTACCTGGCGCATGTGGATTCGTGACGAATCAGCGTACTGCGAATTCGAGTATTTGTTACAAAAATCATGGCTAGCACTTGGCGTGTGGGCGCCAAGTGTCGCATGACTGATTTCGTTACGAAATCATGATTTCGTAGACGAAATCAAGTCATGCAAAGTGCATTTCGCTTACCGAAATCAAGTCTACAAAGTGATTCGCTTACGAAATCAATTAGCTGCCGAGTGATTTCGTGACGAAACTCAGCTACTGCTAGTGAAAGACTAACACGTAATAACTTGCATTAACCACTAATAAATTAATTTCAGTTAAACAAAAATTTTGTTTAAATTAAATTGCGGCTGTAAATAAATCATGGTAAAGTATCTTGCTGTGATTGCCAAATTCGGGGAAAAAAACTCCTGACGTTTCGCAGGATCGAGAGATAAAGCGTGACCGCAATTTCCTTCGATCAACAATATTTTGATCGCCGTTTCCGAGTGGCGGCAGGTGCTATATTCAGGCGCGTACAGGAATAATTTGATATTTTGATCACGTGGCTTGTTTATAACCAATCAGATGTAATGGATCGGGTGTTCGAGGAGCGTCACTTCCAGCTGTTATCGCCCAAAGCGATCTCATGCTGCACGACGCTATGAAGCATGGTGAGGTGGGGAAAGAAGGCAGGAGAGAGAATGCTGGCGGAGAAGGCAGGAGGGGGAGAAGCTGTGTGAAATGAAGGAAGGGGAGAGAGGAGAGGTGGTGAAGAAGAGGAGGGCGAGAAGCGGTGGAGAAGGAGAAGAGGGGGAGAAGCTTGCGTGGAAAATGAGGAAGGGCGAGAAGGAGAAGCTGGTGGAGAAGGAGAGGGGGAGAGAAGCTGTCTGGTGCGAGAAGGAGGAAGGGGAAAGCGGAGGAAGTTGGTGGAGAAGCGAGGGGGAGAAGCTGGTGGAGAAGGTAGGAAGGCGGAGAGAAGGAAAGAAGGTGGCTGGTGGAGAAGGAGAGAGAGAAGCTGGGGGAAAGGAGCGGAGAGAAGAGATTGGTGAGAAGCGAGGAGGGAGAGCAAGGAAAAAATGTGGTGGAGGACGGGGAGAAGCTGGTGGAGAAGGAGGGGGAGAAGCAGAGCTGGTGGAGGCAGGGGGCAAAAGCTAGGCTGGAGGAGAGGCGGAAAAGCTGAGTGGGAGAAGAAGCAAAAAAGAGAGGAGGGTGGATAAGGGAGCTGTGGAGAAGGAGGGGAGAAGGGGAGAAGCTGGGGGGAGACAGGCAGGGAGCGGGGGAGGAAGTTGCTGTCGTACTTCCTCCTTTCTCCACAGCTTCCCTCCTTCTCCACCAGCTTCTCCCGGTTCTCCCCTCCTCCTTCTCTACCAGCTTCTCCCCTCCTTTTTCCACCAGCCTCTCCCCCCTCCTCCTTACTCCACCAGCTTTTCCCTTTACCCCCCCCTCCTCCACCAGTCCCTTCTCCCCTTCTTTCTCCCTTCCTAACGAAATCACTTTGTAGTCTTGATTTCGTTACGAAATCAATGATTTCGTAACGAAATCAGTCATGCGACATTTGGCGCCCCATATTTAAATACCGTATTTCTTGGACCGCGCATTTTGCCTCGTGTGAACGCTAAATACCGAATTTCTTGCTACGTGTGAACGCGGCTATTAGCCATTTTATGTGTGTATAAATCAATAAATACAAATACATAAAAATATTAACGTCGCGTCTCGTAAACTATGCACTTATACGAGAGTAGTAAGCGGATTGTCCTTAAAAATGACCTGTTTAGATTTAACAGGACGTATGTGTTCATCAGCGTAATTAGGTTCGTCTGCTGATTGATTTGTATTCCATTCATCAGCGACTTCTGGTTGGTACAACGCTTGTGGGCCTTTAGTTGTATCCACAGCTGTAGCACTTACGCCAGTGCAGTCTTTGGCGCTTCCCATTAACGCATTGGCTCGTGGTAAGCCACATTTCTTTTTTATGTAGAGGCCGATGATGATAACGATGATTAAAATGGCCAGGCTACCGATGATCAGTCCCACGATGAGACCACTGTTAAATTTTTCTGGAGTAGCAACATCCAGCGACATTGTGTTTGTGGATTTGATAATCCCTACAATGTTGCTAGCTGCGCAGACGTAGTCGCCCGTATCTATATAGGTGACCGACTCTTTTTCATAGGTGCTGTTACCCTCACCAGTTATTAAGGTTCCGTTGTGAAGCCATGAATAACTTGGTGGTGGATTTTCATCAGCAGTACAGAGCAACCATAGTGTGCTACCGTGGTTAAGCGTTATTGCGCCTTCCTCATTGTCACCGCTCACCCTTACCTCTCCCATGTACTGCACGTTTAGCCGCACCTCGACCGACAGTGACTGGAATGATTCGTGGATGTCAACATGACAGGCAAGTATTTTATCGTGATCCTCGGCGGTAAATGTACGCATCAGTGTGCTGTACGTCGTTATAGTTTCATCAACTTCACTAACATGTAAAGTATTAGCTCCGTCTACAGATGTATCACCAAGTGTCCATGTTACTGTTCCTCCCGGGAAGCTTTTGTCTGTAGTGCAGCTAGCTTTATGCGGTCCTGCATGCATTATTTCTGTGTCTGCTACAGCATTGCCGTCTATTTCCATGGTGACGTACGCTGCTGCCACGACCACGGTCACATTCATCTTGTTACTCGACATGTATTCCCTAAACACACTAATCGCCTGGCATGAATAGAAACCCTTGTCTTTAAACTCGACTCGCTCTATCGCCATCTCGTCGCTTGCAGCTTGTATCCCCTGGTCGTCGTGCAACCACGTGTAAGATGGTTCTGGATAGCCATCAGCATTACACGTTAACGTCAGTTTGTCTGCTTCCTGTATAATTACGCCATCATCAGTAGGGTTGTTATAGCTGCTGATGGTCACAGTGTCTCTCAAGTATAGGGTATTGTTCATTACCTCTACAGCTAAGTCATCGTGGGTAAAGACATAACAAAAAAAGATGCTTGTTATTATCATCCGATGAAAACGTGTGATTCACGATACTCGTCGTTGAGGATGTCTTATTTCTTGAACCCGGTCTGTGGATGTGACTAGAATCAACGCTGATATCTTCGTTGTCCAGCCACCAGGTGTTGGTACCTGCTGGGTTACTGCTGTCCGATACACACAAAAACTGTAGCGTTCCATCCGATGATGAAGAGCTGCCAATCAAAGACATGACAACCGACTGTGGTGGCACCAGCACTGTTAGCGTAGCTGTGTGAGATACAGGTCTATCTTCCGGTTTCAGCTGATCTCGCTGCCACTCACAGTAAAGCTCTGCACTATCGTGATCAACTTGTACGTTAGAAATATGCATGCTGAAGTCACCTGTGTTGTACATATTTTCATCAATGTACGAGTATCTGACTTCTTTAGTGATATATAGCGCATGGCTATCACGATACCATTGAGCTGTCACTGGACTTTGTCCATTACTATTATAGCTAAGGTTAAGCTTACAGTGCAGTGTAACGTTGCTACCTTCAGCTGCCTCCGTGGCGCGCGGTTGCTGCAGAAACTGCGTCCACACTGTTACTGAAGCTACACAGAGGAGAAGCATTGCAACGAGCTTGACTACTGCCATCGATGTTCCATCGCTGTCTGAATCCTGTAAACGTTGACAGTTATAGCGATACTTGGGAAGAGCTAACGGGTTTCGGTGGGCCAACACATCTTGTTTTGTGGTCACACCGGGTAAACAAGTATAGTGATTAAGCTAAAGTCACACTGGGGCCGGACTGTCCACGGATTACCGCGGATGGGGCAGGATCTCCCCGGACCGTAAAATTTATAATCCGTGGCGATCCGGGCGAAAAAAAGCATCATCGGGCCGGATCGGGCCGGACCAACACGGCAGCGCCACGGACCATCCTGGATTGAGCCCGGATGAAGCCGGCCCCAGCACGGAGTCACTACGGACCGCCCCGGACCGCCCCGGACTG